GAGGACTACCTGACTTCTAAACCTGATGGGTGCAGACTACTTCCATCTAGTTGAAAAATAGCTATTGGTGTTGATGAGCTGCTTGGGAGGGCTTCCCATAGACAGCCAGTTCCCCACTCTTAGCACTGAGGTGCTGGAATGCTGTAGATCACAGGTGTCAAACTTGTGGCATCACGTGACATTTTGTGAGGGTTTTTCCCTTCGCTGAGCTGGGGTGGGCATGGCCTGCGCATGAAATGGCCAGCCAGTTTGACTTCCCTGCTGTAGATAAGCATCTGGTCTGAAATAGCAGGACTGCCCTTATGGTCTCCTTAACATTTGTCCTAAAACAGGATTTGGCAACCTTTGCTGCCTTAAATATTTCTGAGTTGCAATTCCCAGAGTCCCTTGGAAACATAACTGATGGTGAGGAAGACTGGGTATTTTAATTCAGCAGCAACATTGGGAATATAGCACAGTTCTCGCCCTAGAAAATATTTTTTGCATTCCGGAAGGGGGATGGCAGAGGAAGTGCATTTTCAAAGTTTTATCAGAAAGTTAACTAATTGTGAAAAGCGCTTCCTGAAGCTGTAAAATTTAAATATTACTATAATAGACCGTTTCCCTTATCTTTAGTTATCGTAAGCTTCTGCTGTGGCTCTGATGAATTGCTGGCTTTCTATATATTATATATATTCTATATTCTATATATTATATATATATATTATATATATATATATATATATATATATATATATAATATATAGCACGAATACTACACAAATGTAACAAAGGCAACAGTAAAAATATTGGGCTTTCTGTCTGATGGTCTCTTGTGACGAGCCGATGGACAGAGAATGGAAGCAGTTAGCTTCCTCCCATAATTGGGGCATACCAGGGGTTGTGACTTTAAATGTGTGCGTGTGTGTGTGTGTGTGTATTTGTGCTGATAAATAAATAAAGGGAGACTAGTATAGATCTATTTCAAGCTATTTAGCTCTCGTCAGCTAGCCATACCCTTACTGGGATTCAAATATTTATTTATTTATCAGCACAAATACATACAAATGTAACAAAGGCAACAGTAAAAATATTGGGCTTTCTGTCTGGATGGTCTCTTGTGACGAGCCGATGGACAGAGAATGGAAGCAGTTAGCTTCCTCCCATAATTGGGGCATACCAGGGGTTGTGACTTTAAATATATATATATATATATATATATATA